CTGCCATCGGCAACGAAGTGGTAAGCTTTATAGAAAAATTTTTAATGTTGATTTATTTAAGACTTCTTTTTTTTTCTCTTGTAGGTGTGGGTCAAAAAAACCAATGACAGCAAGGTTAAAATTAATATGTCGCATTTAGCTAAGGGAAAAGTTACAATTAAACGGCGCGCCAACTGATCCAACGCCAAATGCGGCACTGGTAGCTGCAGTTCTAACAAATCCGGCGCCGCTCCCCCTATGGTAACTACAACAACTTAGTTTTATAGTTCTTTATAAATTTAATAAATATGTAATTTATTCGCGTGTAATTATAGCTTTAGTATTTTATGTTAAAATATTAATGTATGTATGCAATAACTAATTTATTGTTGCACCAATAAGAATTTTAAGAGGAAACAATCAAATGTGTAATACTTATAAATGCAAAATTTTCAACAAACATTGCACAATTAAATTGTTATGATATTTTGTAACATTATTCATACTACAATATATTTTATGAGAAATATTTCAGGTAAGATTGGCTGCATTTAGTAATGAAATGGAGTTAAATGAAATCGATCAAATAAAATGTTGTATGTATGTATGTATATACATAGTATATGTATGTATATCATGGCTTAATCATTGAAATTTCAAAATATCGTGTCATATTAACGCCTTTACCTACAGATTTAAAAGAAATAATTTTTCAACCTCTTACAAAGTTCGACTGAAATTTTAAAATTATTTTGAAAGTTTCATCGACTAAAATGTGAATTAAAACTCTAATTCAATCAATTTACATAACTTTTTAAAGATAGATTAACTGCTGTTTTTTCTTTCAAATCTGGAAGACGCTCGTGCGTTTCTTAGGTTTATTTTCGTCAAAGCACTGGCAAATAACTACCAAGCAACCATGGAGGCCAGGCATGTTTCTTTAGTTTTTTGCTAAATTCATAAATTCTGCACAAATTATTTCATTTATCTCTTCTACGCCTGGAATATCAGGCATAACCCAAGTTTCGTCTGTACTAAGAAGTGTCTCTGAACAAATAGGACACGTTTTATTATTGACATTCCTAGAAGAGTTCAAACGGGTTAAATCATTTTACGCAAATACTATGTCATTTACAAACCATTGTTCAATGCAAGGCGTACAAAAGCTATGCGTGCATGGCAATATGACCTCTGTACGCCGATCTAAACAGATTGAGCACTCGTCAACGTGTTCAGAATGCGAACATGAG